GTAATACTTTTAGCGAAAAAAAAAAAAAGAATTGGAAAAAAAAAAAAGAGGTTATTAGGAGTTGTAATATGTTAGCAATTGGTCATCCACCCAAGGTTTGCGGGATGGGGGCTGTGGGCACACAGGTCGCACTTCTGTTTCAGGGATATCTGGGCAGGGGAGGGAAAAGGAAACTTGGGAGGTATGACTGCTAGCTGCTCCGGGGGTGGGGGTGCGGGGCGGGGGGGGGTGGGGAGCCAGGGAAAATCACTGTGCTGTTTTATTTCCCATGTTTCTGTGTTAGGAAGACAGGGAGCTTTGCCCAGGAGCATCTGCATTTCCTAGTTTCTGTGAGAACCATGGTAGAAAGCTCAGGACAGTGGTTACATTAAGATTGGAAATCGTGTTCTGGGTCCTTTCCACCACCGAAGAGTTTTCCGCCCTGAGTTAGTCCCAGCCACTGAGTGCTGGGCTCTTCACCGAACTCTGGGCCTCTCCCCTTCCCCCTCCTCCTCCCACCTCGCCAGGCCTTTCCCTCCAGTCTGAGCCCCTGCACAGGGACATTTTACTCGGCTGAGCTGGGAAACCATAGATGTTGGAACATACGTACCAGTGCCTGCTTTCCCTCCTCCTCTTCCTGCTGCGTTTTCTCCTTTCCGTTCTTTTGGTTTTATTTGTTTTTTTGTGTTTGTTTTTTTTTCCTCATTCAGACACACGCTAAACACCGGCCCCACATACAGGCCTGAACTGCCCATTTTCTGATTGCGAGTGTGACAGCGAGGGGGAAGGAAGTCGCATTCATGGTCAGGAGCCGCGTGGGAGCTCAGCAGAGTGGGAGGGCTGAGGGTCTGCCTTTGTTGAGGCTGCAAAGTCGAGGTTCACCCCTCTTCACCCCCAAATACCAGCATGCTCCTGGGGCAACCTTGGTGAAGAAGCACAAGTGACCTCTTGACGGCGTGGCTCCCCATGGCTCGTGTGTCCACTATGGCCCCCGTGGCCCTCCTCCTGAGAGGGAGCGGGCCGTTGGCTGCCCGTCCCCCAGTAGGAGTGCCCGTCCCCCCGGAGGAGGGCCCGTCCCCCAGTTGGAGTGCCTGTCCCCCAGAAGGGGTGCCCGTGTGCGGGTCAGCCTGCTGGGGTAGAACAGACTGCCCTGCAGCCCAGCAGTTTAAAGGGGTTTTTGTTGAGGCAGAGCAGATGGACAGAGAGCGGCAGAGTTCACATTAACCCGTCATAAATCAGGACGCCCGGTAGGAAGGGAAAAATCTGGCAGGGGGTCAATGGGGAAAAAAAGGGACATCTGTAATACTTTCAACAATAAAGATAAAAAAAGAAAAGAAATCTGAGCCTGGTCACTTAGGCGTTTGAGTTAATTTAATTTATTATTTTTTCCTTATTAGAAAAGCACCTCATGCTTATTTTAAAAAAACCGATGTGAAGAATTAAAAAAGTGTGTGCCAGACAGAAAGACAAACCCCACGTCCCCAGAAAGAATTGCTGTCACCCCTTTCAGTCGAATCCTTCTGGTTTTGCCCTGTCTCCTGCTCTCTCTCTCTCTCTCTCTCTCACACACGCCATTATTATTTAATAAGAATAACATACTCTTTCACCTAGATATTGAAAGTAGGTGGGAACCAGGCCTCGAAGACCAGAACACCCGCGTGATAGTTTGGGTCAGGCCACCAGCATCAATTTGAGTAATAAAACCAAAGACAGCGTGTAAATTTATGTTTGGGGAAGTTGGGGCAAGTCCAGGGAAGGAGAAGTGCATTGGCGCAGAGGGCCGGCTGAATTTCTGATCTTCCTTCCAGGAACGCCACGCCTCGGGGAGCTCCCCAGAAAGAACTGCGGTCTGTGTGTGGTGGTCCTGTCGCCCCCTAGTGGTTCGAGGAGAACTGTTTGGGCAGGAAAAGAATTCTGTGCATTGGACCCTCTCTGGGCCCATTTCTAATGGTTGTTTGGATCAATGGCTGTCCGTTAGTCCCCCTGTCAATATATTTACCAAAGCCCAAGACAGGATCAATGCCTGAGCCTAGTAGGTCTCTGGCACATCGGGGCTCAGGTCATTGGACTGAATGTTAGCGCCGTGTTTTATGACAGTGGGACACTATTAAATGCTCACCTCGTGGGGTGAGAGACACATTCCTGGAGAGGCACTAAGGTGGGTTGGCCCACCACCATCTGCGCCGTGCTTTCTAGAAGTCATTAGTGTTTGTGGACAGTTCTTGTAGTGCCAGTTCTACTTACTATGACAAAATCTAGTTAAATATAAAAATTAGCGAAAACCCAACCCAATGGAACCTAATACAGTTGTTTCAATAGAAATAATTGGAATGCTTTAAAAAGTCTCCATGGTGCTGACTTACTAAAAAGACACAGGGGGTTAAATATGTGAAATATTGTGAAAAATGGTAAAAAACTAGAGTTGTGCACTCAGATTATTTCTGTTAGCTAGAAATCCCCATTGGTGTTGAATGAATGATGGAGTCATTATTACTCTTTCTTTCCTCTCTCTTGTGAGTTACATGGGCTTGTTACAAGATGCCAGTAACATAAAGTTTTTATGGTGTTGCTCCCTCGTGGAGAATTGGACCCGTCTGGACACAGGCCCTGACCAGCCAGTTCCACCTTCATCTCTCTGTTCCCTGCCTTCACGCCATGTTTTTGTACTTGCTAAAGGAGCACACATGTGTCCTACTCACGTGCTCTCTCACCTCTGTGCCTTCCTCCCTTCTACTGCGGGCAACCAGGATCCTTCGTCTGGTCAGTTCTGGCCTCACCTCTCCTGTGAAGCATTGGTCCGCACCTCTCTGCCCCCCACCCCTCCACTCATTATTGATTCTCGCCTTCACTCGAAGGTGAGTTCTGTGGATCCCCACCCTTAGACTGCCTGGCATACAGCAGGCGTCCAGTGCATGGTGCCGGAATGTTGATTGAATAGTCAGTGCCTTCTGTGTGCTGAGCACTGTTCTAGATCCTTCTTCAAAGGTGGACTTCCCCTCCTTCCTGGTCCCTCACTCAGCTCACTGACTCACTCCCATCATTTCACAAACTATTTTGCACCAGCAGCATCTGTCTGGCTGTCTTTCCTACCAGCTCATGAGTTAGCAAACTACAGCTGGTGGGCAAAATCAGCCCACTACCTTTTGTTTTATTACTAGAGGCCTGGTGCACAAAATTCATACACTCCACAAGGGGGCGAGGGGTCCCTCAGCCTGGCTTTCGCCCTCTTGTAGTCCAGGAGCCCTCGGGGGATGTCCTAAGCTGGCAGTTGGACACCCTTAGTGCTGCCGTGGAGGTGGGAGAGACTCACACCACTGCTGCTATGTTCCCCCTCTGGGAGCACACTGACCACCAGGGGACAGCTGCTGCGTTGAGTGTCTGCCCCCTGGGGGTCAGTGTGTGTCATAGTGACCTGTTGTTCCGCCATTGGGCCGAAACCGGCTCTCTTGACATCCCCTGAGGGGTCCCGGATTGCGAGAAGGCACAGGCCAGGCTGAGGGACCCCACTGGCGCACGATCAGGGCCAGGAGGGATGTGGGAGGTTGGCCAGCTGGGGAGAGACTGCGGGAGGGCTCCATGGCATGTCTGGCCCGTCTCGCTCAGTCCCAATGGGCCAGACCCCGGCAGCAAGCTAACCTACCAGTTGGAGCGTCTGCCCCCTGGTGGTCAGTGTACGTCATAACAAGCGGTTGAGTGGCCTTAGCATATCATTAGCATATTACACTTTGATTGGTTGAACGGACGACTGGACAACCAGACACTTAGTGTATTATGCTTTTATTATATAGGATTTTTTGGTATGGCTTGGGAGCTGAGGATGGTTTTTGCATTTTAAAATATGAAATACAGACCAAAGTCTGTTAGCCTTTGGCAGGGAGACCATGGTTGGGAGAATTGCAAACACTGTCTCTTGGCCAGGACACTGTATACTGTCTGGCCCTTTATGGCACAGGCTTGCTGACTCCTGCCTGAGGCACGGTTTTAGGATACGGGGACCCACTTCAGTCTCTGAATTCCTAGGGTGCAGCACTCAATAGGCATTTTTTGGGTTGAACTGAACTCACTGTTTCTTATTCCTTCCTCTGGAGTCGGATGTGGATTTGAATACCTGTGAGACTAAAGGCATCTCTGAGCCTTTGTCCTCCTTTGAAGACGAGATAATCATGCCTTCTCCTGGTGGCCACCCCGAGGAGTAAACAAAGCCATCCACATGCCAATACCTATTCAGTGTTTAGCCCAGAATTAGCATTTAAAATTTTTTATTTTATTTTTTATTTTAATCCTCACCGAAGGATATGTTTTTTTAAATTGATTTTTAGAGAGTGAAGAAGAGAGAGAGAGAGAGAGAGAGAGAGAGAGAGAGAGAAATATCCATGTGAGAGAGAAATATCGATTGGTTGCCTCCTGTACACACCTGGACTGGGGATCGAACCCAAAACCTATGGTGTACGGGATGACGCTCCAACCTACTGAGCCACCCGGCCAGGGCAGCACAGAATCAGCGTTTGATGTTAGCTGTTCCATTTTTGTTCAGATAAACATCCAGCAAAAGTAACCTGATCATAACCATATAAACCAAACTGTATAGCAGTTGCAAATTAAAAAAATAACATAATTAGTCGTTTTGGGTTAGCTTCTTTCTTTTTGAAAATTAAGAGCTGCCCTTCTGCCCTTTTCTCTCTCTTCCCCATATCTGTGTGGGTTTTCTTTTTCTTTTTTCGTTTGAGGCTGAATGAGTTTCTTAAGGTGCAGACGGAGGAAAGTTTCCAAGGCACCATTAAGACAGAAGATCTCGCTTGAGGGGTGTGGGCACTTCCCAGAGCCCCGTTAGGGGGTAGTTTCTGGAGCCGTTTCTGCCTCAGGCGCACCTTTCTCAGGGGGGTAGGAGGTGATGCGGGGCGGAGGGTGGGGGCTCATCCTTCTGCTGTCCGCACTGGCTTTGAAGGCGCTGGGCACTCTGTAAAGACGCATGGAACTGGAACGAGTTCAGACGGGTGTGTCTTGGACCTGTTTCTTTGCAGGGACCGTGAAGGTGAAGAGTGCCAACATCCAAGTGGGAGACCTGATCATCGTCGAAAAGGTGAGGGGGTCTCTGCTGTGTGAAATGGGGAGTCCCTGCTCTCACATCACGATGCTGGCGCGCAGTCGGGGGCTCTGATCGAATGTACGCTGTTTGCAGTTCCATCCAGCAGCTCTGCTGGGGAGAAAAGTCTCTCTCTTTCCTGAGGGGCACCAAGTATTTTTTCAAGTTTACATGTGTCGGTTAGCTAGAAGTCCTACACAAGTTTTGATTTCCTGTTTGATGTGTTCGTTGTTCTTTTTGGGGTCTTTTAAAAAATTTTTTTACTTACCATGAAGTCTTTCTTAGAAGTCCATTAACTACATAAACATGTTTGTCATTTACCTTTTGAGCAATTTTAGCTTGCATTTAAAATAATTAAATATATGTCTATATTTTATTGATTTTTAGAGAGGAAGGGGGTAGGGAGAGAGAGAATCATTGATCGACTGCTTCCTGCAAGCCCCCTACTGGGGATTGAGACCGAAAACCCTCCACTGGGGATCGAGACCGCAAACCGGCCATGTGGCCTGACCAGGAATCGAACCGGTAACTTTTTGGTTCCCGGGACATTGCCCAACCAACTGAGCCGCATCGGCCAGGCCTTAGCTTGCATTTTTTGACTTAAACATCATGCTTTTCAATCATTTTATGGGGAGTAGAGGTTACTATGAGAACAGTAAAAAGGCAAAAAACACATTTTTAAAAATAGCACTGCTGATTTGCTCCTTACTTCAGCGGATACTCACATCTCTTCTTACTGTGTTATTTGGAAGGCATTGGATTTTGAGGCTGGTTCTGGACAGTCTCGGGATAATATTTGATTTGAAAGGAGTGTGTCTGGACTGGGTTCTGTAGGAAATGAACTGTGCTCTTTTAAAAGGATTAAACCCAACAACTCCGAGTTGATTTGCGGGAAAGTGAAGCCCTTCTGGGCAGCAGCTCGGAGGAACCACAGCCCCCTGTGCTGCTCTGCACAGTCCTCTCTGTTCACAATTAAATGAGGCTGCTGTCGGCTTCTCGCTCTCCTTCTGAGAATGGCTTTTGTTCCTTCCTGTGACTTGACTTCCTTATTAGAATCCCACTGGAAGCCAAACCTCCAGCCGGGAAAGGGGTAGAAGCGGAGAGCGTGAGCAGGGGGCACGTATCTTTCCTTTCAGCAGACAGCCTGGACTAAAGTCAGTGAGGCCGGGGTCCCTGGCTGGAATTTCGGGAGGTAATGGTTGGATTCGCCAGGAAGCTAGAAGCTCTCTTTCTGAGATGTGATTTCAACAGGGGATTAGGCACGTCACAGCAGTGTGCAAGGGTTTTCAGATTCAGAACAAAATAAACCCTCCGTCTGTCTTGGACAAAGGCAGACACTGAAAATACCCCGTGGGTTTCGATGGCTCCCCCCCACCGAGGGGCGGGGGCGGGGGGCGGAAACCCACCCGGGATGGCCCACAGTAACAGCCCTTCTTATCGTAACAGAACCAGCGGTGCCTGCTGACATGATCTTCCTGAGGACATCAGAAAAGAACGGTAAACAGCTGGGATCGATTTGGAAAATAACCATTAACTTTTCAGTGGCAATTTGGCAAAGTAATCATTCGAAAATGTAACTGAAGTAGATGATCATTTCGGAGCCACGGAGGCGAATCCAAACAGCCCTTTTAATGGAGCAATCCTAAAACAACGTTTTCGGTGCTCGCAGGGCAATAGATTGTGATCATTACAAAGATACAGCTAGTTGGACCCCTGCTGAGTCTCCGCTGGTGAAGTCTCATACATACACGCGCACACACACACACGCACACGCGCACACACACGCACACACATGCACACACATGCACACACATGCAGGCATGCTTGCACGTGCTGCTTTCCCTCCCTGGGCTGCATGAGGCTCAGAATTCCCTCTCTTTTGAGAAAATACCAGGAGGTGTGTGATGAGGCGGGCAGTGGGGCCGGGAGAGAGGTAGGTGTCCCTTTGGGCCCGGAGTCATGAGTGGCGGGGCCAGGCCCACCCTTGCCTGTCAGTTTGTCTGTTGTTCCAGCCCATTGGGGTTGAGTACCGCTCCCGCCTTTCCAAGCCCCTCTCACTGCGGGCTCCCTGCGTGGCTGCCACCACCCGTCTGCCCCGTCCGTTGGCTCACGTCTCCTTTCTCTTTATTTTTGATATTTAAGCTGCTCTGAGGAAACAAGGCTGTTTCTCTCTTGCCTATCAGGCACAATCAGAGATCTTGGAACCCCCGAAAGATTCGCACTTGTATTCCTTTGAGGTTCCTGCAGCTTATTTTATTACAAATTGAATAAAAGCACGGGTGAAATCTTACACTAATAATATATGAAGTAATGCAGAGAGGGGGGTGGAAGGCATGATGAAAGCAGCCTTCTTTTAAAAATTGTGGCTTTGTCCTCAAATCGGTTCTGTGTCCTGGTCCATGAGTGTTGGGGATTAGGTTTCCTGAAGGGCTCTCCCTTTCTAAAACACCCTCAACCCCCCCCCCCCCCAAAAGATAGGAAGTTCCCAGGAGCCTTCGCTGCAGCGCCGGCGAGTTCCGCACGCTCTCTGTCTGATGAGAGACACGGCCGACCTGTGGCTTGGACTTGCACGTCAGACCCACATACGCGCCCACACAGAGTGCGCGTCGGTGATTACGGCCGACCTACCTGGCGCTCTCGGCTTGGCATGGACCAGCGCTTTAGCTCTCACAGTCTGAGCTCGGTGCTGTTAGTGAGTGTCAGAGCCCGGACTTGAACCCAGGAGGTCTGGTTCCTGAGAAGGTGCTTGTAACCCCTGCCCAGAACAGACTCGAATGCTGGCTCTCTCAGGCCGCCTCCATGCCGGGGCTTCTGTCACCACTGAGTCCCGACAGCAAGTTTGGGAGGTGTGTGTTTCTTCCTGTTTTATGGCGAGGACACACCGAGGTTAGCAAGGTGGAGAAGCTGGCCCGGCTCCCACTGCAAGTGAGTGGGGGAGGGAGCATTTGCACCCAGATCTTTCTGACCCTAGAGCTTAAGGAGGAAGTGGGAAACGGGGTATTTTCCTTCCCTTTGGTGGTTGGCCATTTGTTGGCTGTTTTTACAAGGACCAGGGCGGGGGCTGTCCCGAGCGGCCACCAAAAGGCTTCGTGAGCTGCTGGTGAACAGAAGGCACCGGCTTCCTTCCACAGGGTCTTGCTTCCTGCGGACGGATCAGCTGGACGGGGAGACGGACTGGAAGCTGCGGCTCCCGGTGGCCTGCACGCAGAGGCTCCCCACGGCCGCCGTGAGTAGCTCTCCCTGCAGAGGCACAAATGGCCACTGTCCCAGCAGAGCTTGCAAACTCGGGCTTCCTCCGGGCCAGGCATGGGTGTCAGAGGTGGGGTGTTTTGGGGCCCTGGGAGCCTTGAGTGCCGGTTGGTTCCACGTACCGTGGCCACGCGAAATGCAGACTCGGCATGCGGGACGGAGCTCTTCCGAGGGGAGCGCAGAACCTTAGGAAACCGTGACCGGGACCGAGTGTAAAAGTAATGGTAGGCCAAGCATGTCTTCCTCTGCTCAGAACTCTGGAGGCTCTCAGCTCTGAGAACCCGTCCCCCAGGCCTCGCTGGCACCTTTCAACCCCATGTCATCCGTACACTCTGCGGAGGCCCTGACTCTGCTTCGGGCCCTCCCCTCTCCCCACGCTGCAGCCACTCTGGCCTCCCTGTCAGGCATGCGTCTGCCTCCCAGCATCTGTCCTGGCTGTGTCTCCACTGGAACAGTCAGACTGGAATTGTCTGCTGGCTGGGCACCTCCATCGTATCCTTAGGTCTTGTACACCCGTCTCCTAACGGAGAGGCGTTTTCTGGCCACCTTCTCCCTGCATTCCCACTCCACTCACTTCAAGGCGGTGTCTTTGAGAGTAGGGTTCTGCCCGGTATATTCACTGCTGATTTCCTGGTGCATGGAACAGCATTTAGAACAGTGCATGGAATAGCATATAGGCAGTGTGTGGAGGAACATGTAGAACAGTGCATGGAACAGTGTATGCTCAGTGTGTGGAACAGCATTTAGAACAGTGTGGAATAGCACGTGGACGAAGGTATGGTCTAAGTAGTTGTAACCAACAGGTGCTCAAAGCTCCCCAGGGCCCTATAGTTCCCTATATCACACCACGATTTGTAGAGTGAGGGAGGGAGAAGGTAGCCAAAGTGTAAGTTTAAACACAAGTCACACGGGTTGGAAGTGGCCTGTGGACTAGGTTACAAAATCACAGAATGTAATTCAAACGTCTGGAGACCAGCATAGGCCCCGTGCGTGGTCTGAAAGGGTTAAGCTGCACACGCCAGCTTTCCCTGGGCTGGCGGTCACATCGGTTGATGCCATGCCTTTCCTCGCCCTGTAAGGAAGGAAGAAGTTCTGTGTCTCTGTGGAGTTAGCATAACAGTAAGCGTGCCCATGGTACATATGATTGTTCGTTGCCAAGAACAAGTGAAATGGTGCTGTTATTATTACTGCTTTTTAAAGCAGGAATTCTAGAGCCGCGAGTCTCTAACTGGCCTGGAGCCCCTGGGAATCTGTAGAAGGTGCCATTGCGCCCCTGAGAGGGGCTGGTCTAATAGGGGCTCTGACTTTATCCATATGGCGTGTTCTACCTTCTGGTAAAGTTTCTGCAAAGAACGGTTCTGACCCTCAGAATGATTGAAGGACTCCCCTTAAGAGCGAGTCGAGAGCCTGGAGTCGTGAAGACACCTACACGTGTGGAAGGTTTGCCCTTTCCCCACCTGCCCCATCGTTTTAGGGCCTGTTTGCTTTAGAAAAAGAGTGGCTGCCTCCCTCCGGAAGTCTCTCTGATCATAAGCCGCCTTTTTCTAACTCCAAATGTCACCTCTGTCGCGCAGGATCTTCTTCAGATTCGATCGTATATCTACGCGGAAGAGCCGAGCATCGACATCCACAATTTTGTGGGAACATTTACCAGGGTACGTAGCTCAGCTTGCCACGGACTCCTGTCTTAGCGTGTGGATTCACGATGGGAGCCCGCAGACCCGCGTCTGAGGGTCTTTGTCAGGAAGTATCTCTATGGGGGTGCGAGGGGGAGGAGAGGGGAGATGGGATGGAAAGGGGAGGGGGGCGGGGGTTGGGCTGGGGGTGGAATTCCCTTAGGGAGGCACCGCCTGACCCCTGACACATTGTCTCTCAGTAGGGGCCGAACAACTGCAGGTTCTTCAGCCTCAGAACAGCTGGGACTGCCTGACAGTTTTGCCACGCGTTGTTCTAATTCATGTTAACGCCGATGCTCAAAGTTACTCTGTCTCCCTCTGACGCGAGGACATCCTCTATTGTTTAGATAAGCCCTGCCTGCCATTGTTATATATATATATTTTTAATCCTCACCCAAAGATATGTTTATTTATTTTTTTAATTTTGGAGAGAGAGAGGAAGGTAGAGCGACAAATCTCAATGTGAGAGAGAAACATCGATTGGTTGCCTCCCATAGGCACCCAGACTGGGAAGTGAACGCCCACCACCTTGTGGTGTATGGGATGATGCTCCAGCTGACTGAGCCACCTGGCCAGGACCACTGTTGTTTACATATATTTGATTAATCCTTCCCCAAGGATATTTTCCTATTGATTTTTAGAGAGAGTGGAAGGGACGGGGAGAGTCAGAGAGATAGAAACATCGATGTGAGAGAGACATTGATTGGTTACATGCGCCTCCCCTCACACTACTACCGTAGGCACCCTGACTGGGGCTGGGGATCAAGCATGCAACTGAGGTACGTGCCTTTGTCTGGACTTGAACCCGGAACCCTTCAGTCTGAGGGTTCTATCCACTGACACTCTATCAACTGAGCAAAACTGGCCAGGGCAGTTATACTTAAAAAAAAAAAAAAAAGAAGTTTTTATTGATTTCAGAGAAGGAAGGGAGAAGGAGAGAGAGAGAAACATCAATGATGCGAGGGAATCATTGATTGGCTGCCTCCTGCACACCCCGCACCGGGGATCGGGCCGAAACCTGAGCACGTGCCCTGACCGGGAATCATAGGTTGATGACACACTGGCCGGGCTGGGCAGTTATACTTTTTAAGTCACTTCTCAACTCTTCGGAATAGAAATTAAATTTGGATTTAAGTTACTTTAGGAATCTGGGACAGGAGGGTTATAGACCCCAAATTAAACTGTTCGTGTTGTCTTTCTATGAGCCACACGACTGTCCTGTTTGATTGTTCGCTCTCACCTTAAAAACACTCTGTCCGTGTTCCAGGCTTGTCCTCAAGTCAGGAGCCAGCCTTTCCAGGTATTTCCATGGGGGTGGACACCCCACGGACAGTAGTCGATGAGTGTGGCCCCTCTCTCCTGGCTGAGCCGTGGGCTTCTCACCAGGGGTCGCCCGTCTCTACCCGTCTTGTGGGTTTTTTCAAAACCTCGCTCCATAGCCCTGGCTGGTATTTCTCAGTGGTTAGAGCATTGGCCTGCACTCCCAAGGGTTGTGGGTTCGATTCACGGTCAAGGGCATGTACCTGGGTTGCAGATTTGATCCCCACCCCCTGTCGGAGCACTTGCCGGAGGCAACCAATCAACATGTCTCTCTCATATAGATATTTCTCTCTCACTCTCTTTCTCTCTCCCTCTCCCTCCCTCTCTTTTACTCTCTGAAAATCAATGCAAAAAAATATCCTTGGATGAGGATTAACAAGAACCCCCATGAAAACCAACAACAAGAAGCCTTGCTGATCAGTGTGTGTCTGTCTGGCCTCTTGCAGGAGGACAGCGACCCTTCGATCAGCGAGAGCCTGAGCATCGAGAACGCGCTCTGGGCGGGCACCGTCATCGCCTCAGGTGAGGCGCCTGCCCTCTCCCAGGAATGTGGTAGCAATTTGAAGAGGGAAGAAAATCCTCCCGAGTAATTAGAATAATCATCTGTCAGTTGGGAAAATTAGTCCTCGGTCAAATGGTGTTTTCCACTTGTCCCAGCACCTCCAGGGGATTCTGCTGGCATCTAATTGCCCCTCAGACACTTAGAGCAGAGAAGCCGCTCTGGCCTGCGGACTCTGCAGCGCCCACTCCGCGAATAGCCCTTAATTGCCGCTGCAGATGGACGTTCTAATCTGTCCCAGAGGTTGGCTCAGCCTGCACGTTCGGCTGCAGGTCGTGTCTGTGAGGCTGCTGGTCCTGTGGGTCAGGGGCTCCGTGCACAGGAAAGGGCGGAGCCTTGATATTGAAAACTCCAAGGTGACGCAGAAATCTGTGCCTTTCAGTTTTGAGCATGGGGTGCAACTGAACAGAAGGGGCCCAGGGGTTGAGCATGGCCTGCAGCAGCCCTGTTGATATCTGTGGGGTCCCGCCCGTCTCTCATGCAGTGTGACGAGCCCTTCACACATTTCACTTGACCCTCCCAAAGGTGCCACGAAGGTAGGTGCTAGTGTTGTCCCCATTCTGCAGATGAGGAAACTGAGGCTTTGTGGGGTTAAGTAACTTGCCCAAGGTCACACAGCAGGGAAAAGGTGAGTTGGGACTTGAACCCAGGCACCTTGCTTGAGAAGCAGAACTCATTGTACCACCCGCCGTTAGTATGTAATAACTTATACTAATAACATGTAATTCTGCTGCTGACAACTCTCTGTCTTTATTATTGGAGGAATCCATTTCTTTCCCCTCTTCAAGAGTGATATCTCACTCCTATCAACCCTTTCTCCTCTGCTTGTTGGTTCTCTGTGGCTCATAGGAGAGCAGACACTCAATCCAGATACTCTATGACAAGCATGTCAAACTCAAAGGCTAACATGGGCCAAATAAACGGCATGCGGCCCGTGGGCCACGAGTTTGACATGCTTGCTCTATGACAAGGGGAGGGAGGGACTGGCACAAGTGAGAGCCCAGGCCGCCTGGCGTCTCTGCCCACAGAGATGGGCTGTCGCTGTGGTTCTTGCCAGGTTTCTTCTCTCCTGGCTGTGTGGATTGGCAGCGTCATCTGGCTGTCTCTCAGTTCCCCTGATGACTAAAGGAGTGAGAAATTGGTCCTTAAGATTCTGCACAGCCACTGCCTGGCCACCCCTTGGCTTCTAATAACCTCGATGTGTTTAATTCTGCACTTGATTTGATAATATTAATATTTCAGTGATAAGTACCTGTGCCAGTGTCTGTTTGGTTTTCATTCTGGTGATTGTCTCTCCTTCCTTCCTGCTTTCCTTCTTCCTGTGAAGCAAACCTTGATTGAACATCTATATTCAATCATGCCACGCTCCATTGCTAGGTCCTGGTGCTGCTTGGCGTGCCAGCAAACCCTGGTCTCCACTCTCCTGGGATTTACAGTTTGCTATATGTTTAATGTAAGTTAAAGAGGAGAGGGGAGGAGACAGGAGAGAGAGTTCTAGAAATTTCCTCTGAAACCACTAAAAAGGCAAATGGTTTAGGTGAAGATGCATCGAATTCTGAGGTGGAGGGAGTGAGGTTGTAAAAGTCTTGTTGTCAACTTTAATCTCAGAGGTTAACAATAGTCTTATTTACCAGGCACTTTTTATTTACAAAGTGCTTTGCTGCCATTCTCTTGTTTTGGTTTCATGTCATAAAAATGAGGACATTTAATGGAATGCAGAATGGAGACTCAGAGAGGTTAAGCAACGTGCCTAAGGTCACACAGCCTTGGAGCGGTCATCTCTTGGGAGGAGGAGAGTGGAAGGCGAATTGGGATCTTGAAGATGGGGAAGAGATTTCACAGCAGTTCATGGGAAATGCATTGTGGAGTTGGCACATGCGTTTTTTCAGTTGTTTGGATTAATGTCTTTGTGCTTGGTGATGTGGGAAGAGAGAGCAGGGTTCCAGGGCTCCAGTGGCATTGCCTGCCATCCCCTTCAGCGGGTGTATGCTTTGGAGTGAGTCAGGAGCTGGGCACCCAGCATGTCTGCAGCTGGCCTCAGTTTCCCTGACTTCTCACTGCATCTGATTCTAATGCAAACACGGAGTGAAACACAAGCCGTTTCCTTCTGGTGCTCAACTCAAGCAGCGGCCACCAAGAGGAACCTTACCCGCATGACATGTGGCCTCTGTGTTCCCTTTAGAATCTAACTCCTGTGTCGTGATCACTCCGCTCTTATTAGTTGGAAGTTTAAAAAACAATAAAGCTTCCCCTGGTTTGTATGGCTCAGTTGGCTGGGCATCGTCTTGTGCAGGGAAAGGTTGCCGATTCAACTCACTGTCAGGGCACATGCCTGGGCTGCGGCTCGATCCCCAATAGGGGGCCTGTAGGAGGCGGCTGATCATTGTTCGCTCTCATATTGAGGTTTCTCTCTCTCCCTCTCCCTCTCCCTCTCCATTCCTTCCTCTCTCTCTCTCTTTTCTTTAAAAAATGTTTTTATTGATTTCAGAGAGAGAAAGGGAGAGGGAGAGAGAGAAATAGAAACATCAATGATGAGAGAAAAAAATCATTAATCAGCTGCCTCATGCATGCCCCCCACTGGGGATCGAGCCCACAATCCCGGCATGTGCCCTAACCAGGAATTAAACATGACCTCCTGGTCGAAACGCAACCACCAAGCCACACTGTCTGGGCTTCCCCTTTCTCTTAAAAAAATAAAAATAAAGCTTGCTAGGGTAGGTGCTGGGGGTCCAGCATCGATGCAGTTGCCATGGTAATAACACAGTGCTGCTGGGTGAGGAGTCACCAGGGCGGTAAGAGGGAAGGGTAGGGGGAGGCTTGGCAGAGAAGGTGGCCTGGATGTGACAGAGCCCAGGTGTTCTAGTCCAGTTCTTCCAGGACTCAGTGGTGAGGGACCAGTTTGTTGATCTCCCCCAACCGCGCCCCCCCCCCAAATCTGTAGCAGATGGGTCAGTGTCCTGCCGGGTGTGACCAGCGGGCAGGTCACGCCGTGTGCACCTTGCCACACGAGTTTGATAACGTCCCCTGTTCGGCGGGGCTTGTCCTGTGACCGCACGCTCGGCGTCACAGGGTGCCTAATTGCCGTTAACATTTCTGAACGCTGGCCTCTGGGGCTCAGCATTTATCTTGTTGCTGACAGGGAACAAAGGGGTCGCAGTGAGGTCTGACCTGGGACCACACTGCTGTGCGGGGTTGGGAAGAACTTCATGAAATGCCGACCACGGCAGCCTGGCTCCTGGGAGAAAGCGGCTGGGGGCCAGCTGGCAGGATGGAGAGGATTCGTAGTCTGCGGGCTGCAGAGGGTGAGGGACAGCAGAGGGGACAGCGTGGGAGGCGGGGTTCGAGGCCTGGGTCGCATGAGGAACGTGGACCCAGCGTCACCAGATCTTCCAGTTTTCCAGGAGAAGCCAGAAGTCTCCATTGTTAAATGAAAGCTCCCGTCATGAAAAGTGGCCAGCGAATTCAACACCTTAAAGAGCTGTGCAGACCAAACCAGCGCCCCGCTGCGGCCGGTGTGTGCGCTCTGTCTGGGCGGTGAGGCCGGATCGGATCTGGTGGTGACCGTTTTGGTCTTGAGCACAGGGAGATGTTGGGGGGAAGGCCATTTCAGCAGCATCAGGCACTGAGGTTGGCTGGTGCCCGTGGGGGACCCTTCCTTGGGGAGCCCCTGATATGAACACGGGTTATAGGAGAGGCGGAGGAAACAGAATTCTGTGCATTTCCTGTGAAACCTCATGCACCTGGACTTTGGACATTGAGGCCAGCGTGGAGCGAGTGAGCTCAGCCCAGGCTCGGCTCCCACTGCCCACCATCTGCTGTGGCCGCACCTGTGTGCCCGGGAGCCTGCCACCTGCTGGGAGCGGCAGCGAGCTCCCCACCTGCCATCTGCTGGCAGTCTCTCTGCCAGGAACCACCTCGTGCAGAACACTGTGCGCTAAACTGGAAGGACTTCCGTGCCTCCTCCCCGGGCTCTTTGTCCAGGAGACACGGCCTCGCACTGCATCTGGGTCAGCTCTTTCCCTGAGGCTGTGCTTGAGTCTCTGAGTTTTTGTACATTCCTCCGCCAGTATTTTTCCGAGGAGAGAAGGTTAGGTGTTTGCTTTTTCCAGTGGAGAGAATCATTGACTGGCTGCCTCCTGCACACCCCCTACTGGGGATCGAGCCCGCAACCTAGGCATATGCCCTGACTGGGAATCAAACCAAGACCTCCTGGTTCATAGGTGTGCACTCAGCCACTGAGCCACGCAGGCCAGGGTCTTCACCACCGTATTGTCTGTGCATATATACATATAAGATCTTTGTTTAATCTCTTTCCAACCCCTGAACCCCTTCCCTCTGAGAATCTTTAATCTGTTCCATTTCCATGCCTCTGATTCTACTTTATTCACCAGTTTATTCTGTTCATTAGATTCCTTATTCGTTTATTTTGATATTCAATTTTTGATAGATATGTCTTTGTTGCCGCTTTATTGTTCATATTTTTGTTCCTTTGCTTCTTCTTCTTCTTCCTCTTCTTAAATAATACCCTTCAATTTTGATTTAATACTGGTTTGGTGGTGATGAACTCCTTTAACTTTTTCTTGTCTGTGAAGCTCTTTATCTGACCTTCAATTCTAAATGATAGCTTTGCTGGGTAGAGTAATCTTGGTTGTAGGTCCTTGCTATTCATCACTTTGAATATTTCTTGCCACTCCCTTCTGGCCTGCATAGTTTCTGTTGAGAAATCAGCTGATAGTCATATGGGTACTCCCTTGTAGGTAAGTGACTGCTTTTCTCTTGCTGCTTTTAAGATTCTCTCTTTGTCTTTAGCCCTTGGCATTTTAATTATGTGTCTTGGTGTGGTCCTCTTTGGGTTCTTCTTGTTTGGGACTCTCTGTGCTTCCTGGACTTGTAAGTCTATTTCTTTCACCCGGTAGGGGAAGTTTTCTGTCATTATTTCTTCAATCAGGTTTTCAAATTCTTGCTCTCTCTCTCTTCTCCTTCTGGCACCTCCATGATTGAAATGTTGGTTTGCTTGAAGTTGTCCCAGAGGCTCCTTATACTCTCATATTTTAGAATTCTTTTTCCTTTTTGCTCTTCTGATTGGGTGTTTTTTGCTTCCTCATATTTCAAATCGTTGTTTTGATTCTCAGAATCCTCTACTCTACTGTTGAATCCCTGTAAGTTATTCTTTATTTCAGTTAGTGTATGCTTAATTTCTGATTGCTCCTTGTCTATGTTTTTGGCATTCTTACCAAGATCCTTGAAAGTCTCACTAAGTCCCTTGAAGATCCTTGAGTAACCTTGTAACTATGGTTTTGAACTCTGTATCCAGTAGTTCACTTTTTTCCATTTGTGACATGTTTCTTTGTCTCCAAAATTTGCCTGCTTCCCTGTGTTTGTTTCTATGTATTGGGTAGCTGCTATGTCTCCTGGAGTGGGTAGGGTGGCCTTGTGTAGTAGGTGTCCTATAGGGCCCAGGGGCTCAGCCTCCCCAGTCACCTGAGCTGGGCACTCTAGGTGTGTCCCTTTGTGGGCTTTGTGCACAGCCTTGTTGTAGTTGAGCCTTGATTGCTGTTGGTGTCACTGGGAGGAATTGACCTCCAGGCCTATTGGCTGTGAGAACCAGCTGCGACTGTAGTGGGAGAGCTGCTGTGCGGGAACACCCCTATGGAGCTGGACTTGTTTCAGTAGGGCTATGGTGTTCACTGAGTCTGCCTCTTGAGTGTGTTGCTTGTGGATGTGTAGTGTTGTAATCTGGTATGGTCTGAAGCTGTCCACTAGCTGCACTGGCTCTTGGGTCACCAGGGAGGTGCAAAGTTAGTCATTGCCTGCGACCACCTGGCAGGGGCTACAGAGAGATCTGCAGCTTCCTCATATTTGTGTTGGGTTTGGAAGTGCCTGTTTATATCGGGTTTGGGCCTCAGGCGAGGCTCAGCTGAGAAGCAAGGCAGGCTGGTGCTAGTGCCAGGTCTCAGGCCTTTTTTTGGTAGGTTTGGGGCACACTGGCACCAGCTGCAGCTTATTTGAGAAATTTTAGCAAAGTCGGAAGCCTGACGGGCCATTCATATGGAAGAGCTGCTGCAAACAGCTTGGGTAGAGCTGCAAATTGGGTGGGATGGAGCCTCAGGGAATCACCAGGGTGGAACAAATGGTGTGCTCCAGGCTGATGGGGACTCAGATATGGCTGCCAGTCAGCCCTGTGACTGGGGAGGTCCCAGCACAGGAACAATGACTCCTGTGAGCACCTCCATCTGGTAGAAATCTGCCCCCAAGTTCCTGCCCCGATGCCAGACAATCCAGTTCCTCCTCGTATGTGTCTGGTTTCCCCAATGCCTCCTAGTGCTGGAGCTCAAAGGAAGCGGGTCTGGGTAAGTTCATGCCTGGCTCTTTAAGAGGGACACCTGTGTCTCCAACAGCCTCCGTGTTCCACAGTCACAATCCCCGCTGGTTTTCACAGCCCGAAGTTACGGGGCCTTCTCTCCCCAGCTCTGGGGCCCTGACTGGGGAGTCTGGTGTGGGGCTTGCCCTCATGGGGACCTCAGCAGGCACAATCTCCCCCTGGATTAAAAAAAAAAGGCCCACGTATGTTGGCCCAGCCCGTTCTGCGCCTTCACCCCTCCTACCAGTCTCAACGTGCTTTCTTCTTCTCTAGTTGTAGGACTTCCATTCAGCCATCTCTCAGGCGGTTCTGAATGATGGTGGTTTTGTATTTTAGCTGTAATTTTGATGTGGTTGTGGAAGGCGGCGAGTACCGGCATTTACCTACGCCACCATTTTGGTTCCCCTGCCTATTTGATTTCATTTTAATTGAATTTAAATTGCTGCCCGTGGCTAGCAGCTTCCATGCTGGTCAGTGTGGCCATGGGTCGTTGGCTGGCCCTGACGTGAACACACTGACACTCCCCCCGTGTGGGTGTGGGATTTAGAAGACGTCCTCGCAGGCAGCCCAGGCTCTGGTGTTTGTAAGCCCGTCTGTCCGCACTAACAGTTCTTTGTGTCGTGTTTTTCTGTTCTAGGAACTGTTGTGGGTGTTGTTCTTTACACGGGCAGAGAACTCCGGAGTGTCATGAATACCTCAAATCCCCGAAGTAAGGTGTGTGCAGTCACGAGAAGTGTCTCCTTGTCAGACCTTTCGACCTGATGGACTTTGATGATTGGTGTTGGGGGTGAGGAGCTAGAGTTAAAAGCTGGAACTCCTGACAGTATTATCTCATTTATACAAACCTACTATCTTTTCTTTCTTTTTAAATATATTTTATTGATTTCTTACAGAGAGGAAGGGAGAGAGATAGAGAGTTAGAAACATCGATGAGAAAGAAACATCGATCAGCTGCCTCCTGCACACCCCCTACTGGGGATGTGCCCGCAACTCAGGTACATGCCCTTGACCGGAATTGAACCCGGGACCTTTCAGTCCGTAGGCCGACGCTCTATCCACTGAGCCAAACCGGTTTTGGCAACTATCTTTTCATATATATATCTGTAGGTATATATACACATATGTAGATATGCACACATATAATACATAAGTAGCTATTCATATATATACAAATACATAAAATTAAACACCTATTTTTTATTTTTTAAATTAAAAAATTTTTTTATGACCAGAACATTTTAAAATTTCCCTTCTTTTTTTGTTGTTAATCCTCACCTGAGGATATTTTTTTCCATTCATTTTTAGAGAGTGGAAGGGAGGGAGGAGGAGAGAGAGAAATATCAATGTGAGAGAGACACATGATTGATTGCCTCCCGCATGCACCCTGACCTAGAGCTGGGGAACGAACCTGCAACCCAGGTACATGCCCTTGACTGGGAATCCTACCAGAGACGCTTCAATGTGTGAGCTGACGCTCTACCACTGAGCCACACTGGACAGAGTGTATTCCCATTTTTTAATACATCGCATTTTAAAACCTTTTAAGTTAAAGCAAACTGTTGTTTGCTCTGTTATGCGGTGTCCTTCACACGCATCTCATCTCATCTCATCCTTACGCCCGCCTCTGAGCAGGTCTTCCCTGGCCTCCCCTCCTGGAGGGGAAGTGGCCTCGCACCTGCCACGCTGTGCCCCGGGGGCAGGTCTGTCAAACTCGGCTGACGGCAGACAGGTCAGATCTGCTGTCTGCTCTGTTAGTGCTCATTTCACTCCGTGACCCTCCCTCCAAGGCCCACCCCTCCTCCAGTCTTTAAGTTAGAATATTGCAGAATGATTTCCTTTGTCAATTCCACGAACAATTGCTGTTTCCCAAACTCCAGTCATTTTCACCCCACCACTACAACTATAAATGACATTTGTTTGATGTTTTTGTCTCCACTTAGGCCATATTTCAGTGAAGTTATGGGTCTGTTTTGCTAGTTACATTGAAAAAATACACGGAAATAAATACGTAATTATTAAACAAACAATGTTAATTAATGCAGCACCTGAAAATCAGGTGCCACCAGAGGTGTGTGCCCCAAACTTGCAGGCACATCTGACTCAGTGTGTGGGATGATGCTGGGAGTGTGGACTGTCATTTTACAGGTCGCTGTGTAGGATGGTGGGGACCATGCAGTGTGCAGCCCCACCAAGCACAGCAATAACCTGCGTATGTGTTTCCAAGTCTGAATCTTAAGGCTGAAAAACGCTGAAAGCAGAATTCTCTGAGGTCCCTGAGATGCCTGTTATGGCCTGCAACCCAGGGCGCCCAGTGCTCTCAGCCAAAGCCGTGGGTGCGGAAGGGTCCCAGTGTCCCCCCTGGGTGCAGGGGTTCATGGCTGTGGGTTGCATCAGCTGATTCTGAGCCCCCCTTTGTGCCTTGTCCCCAGATTGGCCTGTTTGACCTGGAAGTGAACTGTCTCACGAAGATCCTCTTTGGTGCTCTGGTGGTGGTGTCACTGGTCATGGTGGCCCTTCAGCACTTCGCTGGACGCTGGTACCTGCAGATCATCCGCTTCCTCCTCCTGTTTTCCAACATCATTCCCATCAGGTGAGCAGAGAATGAGCTTGCGTTTGGGTGCCGTGAAATTTCTTCTCTTTACCAGCTGGGCCCTTGGCTGAGTGATGACCAGGAACAGTCAGGATCCTCCGGAGTGTGAGCCCTGGTTTGTGGCGGTAGCATTGGAAGCGTGCATGCCTCCAGGACCCATCCTTTTTTTTCTTTCATTTTTTAAAAATAGGTTTTTATTGATTTTAGAGAGAGAGGAAGTGGGGGGAGAGAAATATCAACGTGAGAGAAACATCTATCTGCTGCCTCTTGAACGCCCCCTACTGGGGAACGAACCCACAGCCTGGGCATGCGCTGTGACAGGGAATCGAACAGGTGACCTCTTGGTGGACGGGATGATGCTCAAGCAACGGAGCCACACCAGCCAGGGCTGATCCATCCTTTCTTAAAGGGACTTTCTGCTCAAAAGATCTTGCCTTGCCCAGTCTATGATAGGGAGGCCAGTTAGAGCTCATCACGTCTGCCAGCTCCAAGATGTTGGTGGTGGCTGTGTGGAGAAGGATTCTGAGCCTGAGTCTGGGCTCAGCAGGAGATAATTTTGAGATTGATTAGCAATGGAAGCTGGATGGCACATGCCAATTGTCTGCTTTCCTCATTTGGAGCCTGAATAAATGGTTTAAAAGTGATATCAGTAATAAGTTATCATAGTAGGAAAAAAACAAAGATTCACAGTAGCAAAAGATTAAAATAAAAGCCACTTCTAATCTCACAACTGAATGATAATTGCTGTTAATATTTTGGGATGTATCTTTTTACAGACTGCTTTCTATTTTAGGAAAAAGAGACTCTGCTCTACACAAAGTCTGTCCCCCTTTTTAACAGCAGTGCGTTGCAAACAACTTCTCACATCAAATATACTTGGAAACCCACCATTTTTTTTGAACTGCCCTAGTATATATTCTGGGTTAACAATTAC